TGATTCTTCCATCACAGTACTGGGTTCCATGTGCTAATATTTTATTTAGGATTGGTCTTATCAACTTTTATAAGTAAGATTGCTCTACAGTTTGCTTTTATAATGCTTATTGTGTAGTTTTGTTATTAGCATTATGCTAGTTTTTTTTAATGAATTGGATAGCTTCTCATCTGTTTTGGTGCTTTGGGACAGTTTGTATAGAATAGCTAAAATTCTGGTGTATAAGATAGATTTTATCTATCTTTATCTTCTTGACATTTTGGTTGAACTGTCCAATTAAGCTTCTGGGCTTGGGGCCTTTTTCTAGGCAGATCATTGACCACTGTTTCAATCAATGAATATTAATCTATTTAGAGTCTCTTTTTTGAGCCAATTTTAGATATTTTCAATTTGAATTATATAAGCAAATATAGAGGCTAGCTTTTTCAATTCTTTCTGTTATGTTTATCTATGTGTTCTTTCATTTTTCTCTATCATTGTTGTTTCGGGTTTTCCTATCTTAATGCCTTTTAAAAATACAACTTTTGGAGGCTGGGCACGGTGGCTCATGCCTGTAATGCTAGCACTTTGGGAGGCTGAGGAGGGAGGATCACCTGAGCTCTGGATTTCGAGACCAGCCTGAGCAAGAGCAAGACCCTGTCTCTACTAAAAATAGAAAACTTAGCTGGGTGTCGTGGTGTGGGTCTGTAGTCCCAGCTACTCGGGAGGCTGAGGCAGGAGGATCGCTTGAGCCCAGGAGTTTGAGATTGCTGTGAGCTAGGCTGATGCCACAGCACTCTAGCCTAGGCAACAGAGAGAAACTCTGTCTCCAAAAAATAATAATAATAATTAAAAAATAAAAATACAACTATTGGGTTTATTGACTCACTCTACTTTTGGTGGGGGATGGTTGCTATAGAGAAGAAGTACAGGAAATTTGATTTGTTATCTGCTTTTACCTTTATCATTTCCTTCCCAGCACTTCCTTTAGGTTTATTTTTGCTGCTGTTTTTCTAGCTTCTTGGATTGTAAGCATGGTTTATTTTCAAGCTTTTCTGTTTTCTAATAAATACATTTAAGACTATACATTTTCCTGAGTACTGAAGGTTTTAATATCAATGCTTTTGTTGGTATTCAGTTTTAAAATAATTCCCAATTTCCACTTATTTTCTATTTAATCTATTAATATTTATAAGAGTGTTAAAGTATGTAAATTCCAGTGGCAAAGGTGGGATAGTGATGCTTTATATCTTTGTTAATTTTTAATGTCGTGTATTTAATTTCATGAACATAGCTTGTATTTGAGCAAGTTTAAAGACATTTTTGAGATTTCCTTTATGACCTAATATATGGTCATTATATTGTGAATGATCCATGTGTGCTTGAAAATAATATGTTCCCATTTGGCTACAAAGTTCTTTTTTTTTTTGAGACAGAGTCTTGCTTGTGCCCAGGCTAGAGTGAGGCCGTGGCATCAGCCTAGCTCACAGCAACCTCAAACTCCTGGGCTCAAGCAATCCTCCTGCCTCAGCCTCCCAAGTAGCTGACTACAGTCATGTGCCACCATGCCGGCTAATTTTTTGTATATATATTTTAGTTGGCCAATTAATTTGTTTCTTTATAGTAGAGACGGGGTCTCGCTCTTGCTCAGGCTGGTCTCGAACTCCTGACCTCGAGCAATCCGCAGGCCTCGGCCTCCCAGAGTGCTAGGATTACAGGCGTGAGCCACCGTGCCTGGCCTCCATTTGGCTACAAAGTTCTTTATGACTCTGATTATTTAAAATGGGAGCCTAGGACCTGGAGCCAGAATAGAGAAAAGGGATATCATTCTCTCATGACTACTAACATTCAGTTGGAACGGGGACCTCCATATGCGGTACCCGGGGGACCCGGCAGCCAGTCTGCCTTTTACCCGAAGCGCTGCTGGCGTCTGCAGAGGATCTATGAGTGGTTGCTCAATGCAGATGATTCTGCAGGTAAGAACAGGTGACACCGTCACCTTGACTGAAGCTAGACCCTTTCTGCCAGTGGCGAGCACCCTGTGCCAACACTCCAAAGTCCAGTACGGTTCCTGGTTAGCTAATCTGTGAAAAACTGAGTTCTCCATATGGAAGGTGGTTCCAGGACATAAGTGATAATGTCCTGCAATGCCAGGTTCTATGAATGTCAATGAATGAAATTGGGGACTACCTTTTTTGGAAGTTAAAGCACAAATCTGAATGTTTTAAAGTCCTAATTAAGGACATGACATAGCTGGAACTAGGGTGAAGCTAGTGAGATATTTGTGTTGGGTACAAAATTTAAAGGGGCACCAAAGAAACTCAGTTGTTAAGTAATATTTGAATGTAATACTTTTAAAAATCAAAATCCAGGCCGGGCACAGTGACTCACGCCTGTAATCCTAGCTCTCTGGGAGGTCGAGGTGGATGGATTGCTCAAGGTCAGGAGTTCGAAACCAGCCTGAGCAAGAGAGAGACCGCATCTCTACTAAAAATAGGAAGAAATTAATTGGCTGGCTAAAAATATATGGAAAAAAATTAGCCAGGCATGGTGGCACATGCCTGTAGTCCCATCTACTTAGGAGGCTGAGGCAGAAGGATTGCTTAAGCCTAGGAGTGTGAGGTTGTTGTAAGCTAAGTTGATGCCTGGGCAACAGAGTGAGACTCTGTCTCAAAAAAAAAAAATCTTGGGGTCATAAGTTATATAGTTCCAGCCTTGAATTCTTACTATATGATCTTACATAAGTTACTTAACCTACTAAGCTTCAGTTTCTCCATAGGCAATAGGGAGCTAATAATATAATAATACTTATCCCATAAGGTCTTTATAATGAGTAAACAAGATAACACAAAGTGCTTATGCCTGAGCCACAGAAGCAGATTCACATTCTGTGGAGCCAGAAGCTTATATAACTTGACAGACCCTTTTAAGAAAAATGATAAAAAATTAGGAAGACAAAATTGACACAGTAGCAAATATTTATTTAGAGTAAGAACATAAACCATAAATAACAATTTAAAAGGTCAAATCCCAGAAAAATAAAATATTTTTATAAATTAGTTGCCCCTATTTATCACTGTAGTGCCTTATTTTCTACACTTCTTTGGCTACATTTTCTTTATCTTTTCATATGACAATTTTGTTATTCATAATACTTCCTGTAGAGAGGATAGAAAAGAGAATTGTACTTTCTCTAGCATGATTGATTCATTTTATATCATTGATGGTTTAGAAAAGTGTTTTTAGGCTTTACAACTCACAATTAGTAATGTTATGTCAACTCTTGTGATTGTTTTTAAATTTGGGAAAACTCCCATCACATGTTTTTCATATATGAACCATAATATTTGGAAGATGTTCTACAGACCAGCTTCTGGGGCCATTCCTGTCGAGCATCATTTCTTTTTCGCTAGCCACATACTTCTGGTGACCCAGCACTGTTTGCACACGTGCATATTGCGATACGATCTCTGGCCTTGTGCTTTTGTGCCACAACACGAAGTTAGTTCAGTAGGTCATGGGAGTATTCCTGGCAGCCATTCCTACATTGTCATGGTTAGTAAGAACTTAAAAATACATGGAAATGACTGTGAGTCCCATAAAAATATTCACTAAACCCAAACTAAACGTATCTTCAACTCAACTTACTTTTTGCTAGCTCTTGAAAATGGCCACGGCCACTCTGCCGCCTGACACAAGCGGGTGTGTAACAGAAGGGTGGTTGGAGAGGAAAGAGACTGTGGCCAGTTAAAATACTTTTAGGCCTGGCGCGGTGGCTCACGCCTGTAATCCTAGCACTCTGGGAAGTCGAGGAGGGCAGATTGCTGGAGATCAGGAGTTCAAAACCATCCTGAGCAAGAGCAAGACCCCGTCTCTACTATAAATAGAAATTAATTGGTCAGCTAATATATAGAGGAAAAAATTAGCCGGGCATGGTGGCTCATGCCTGTAGTCCCAGCTACTTGGGAGGCTGAGCAGGAGGATCGCTTGAGCCCAGGAGTTTGAGGTTGCTGTGAAGTAGGCTGACACCATGGCACTCACTCAGCCTGGGCAACAAAGCAAGACTCTGTCTCAAAAAAAAAGAGTGATTTGCTACTTGTTGCATTGTTTGCCAACTTTGATTCATTAACTCAAGCCTCTTGAAGATTTAGCAGATAAAAGTAAGGGATGCTCAATGCTCAGTTAAATTTGAATTCAGATAAACACCAAATAATTTAGTTTAGGTATATGCCAGATACTTCATTTTTTTAAATACACTGATTTATGTCACATTGGACCCATGCAATATTTTTGACATAGTTATTATTTGTTATTTTCTGAAAACATTATTTGTTGTTTATCTGAAGTTCAAATTTAACTGAACAACCTGCATTTTACCCAACAACCCTATTGCAAGTAAGTTGTGTGAAAGCTTGGTTTAGGTTGCTCTTAAATGTCTTGTGTTCATTTATAAACACAATGTTTCCAAGACAAAGCATTAGATCTCCCAGTTGTTGGGAAGGCTAACTTCCCGTTCTGAAGCTCCCTCAACTAAAAACGTGATTTGGTAGGTCTGGCGCGGCTCACACCTGTAATCCCAGCGCTTTGGAAGGAGGCAGGAGGATCGCGAGGCCGGAGCTCGAGACCAGCCTGGACCATATAGCCAGACCCTCCCTCCTTCTCTGCAAATATTTCTGCTATGGGAGAGATTCTTCGCAAAGAGCTCGAGTTGGGGCCATACGCAGTGGAGTACTAAACCTCCAGGAGAGGGAGGCTGAGCGTCTGCCGGACCCCGCGCTCACCGGTGAGCAGAGGCCCCGGCCACCACAGCCCCGGCACGGCCTCTGAGCCCACCGAGAGGCGGAGCCCGGGCAGACCCTCTTCTCCCGTCCGGTCCGCTCGGGGAGACGGATTCCCGAGACCCTGCCCTGCCCGCGCCCACATGCTCTTTCCCGGCAGCCCCGCGCCGCCCTCCCCGGGGTGGCCGAGGAAGACCGCGCTGGTCTCGGCGCCGCCCGCCCGGCGTTAACGGCGAGTCCCGAAACCCTGCGCCCGCAGGGTGCGCCTCGCCCGCGCTCGGGTTCCTCCCAGGAGGGGCTTCGGCGGGAGAGGCGGGCCCTGAGCTGCGGAGGGCGGTTCGCTCCGCTCTCGAGCTTTCTCGCTCCTCTCTCTTTTTTTTTCGGTCGGAGGAAAGAAAACAGCCCTGCGCCGGGGCGCGCGGTGGAGCGGAGCCGGGGGAGCGGGGCACACCCTCCCGCGCCCGCCCGCGCCGGCGGGAGGATGCTCCTGAGGGGCCTCCGGCCGTGGCTCCCGCGGCGCCTGCCGACCCCCGGAGCCCGGGCCCGAGCGCGCCCGAGGCCGCTGCCGCCCCAGGTGAGCGCGGCGCGGGGGCGGGAAAGTTTGCGGCGGGCAACTTCGGCGGGAGCAGCCCGGCGGCCGGGCGGGTTCCCGCTCCGCGCGGGGAGGCCCCGGCAGGTGGCGTCGGCGGCGGACGCGAGGGCCGGGGCCGGAGCCGGGGCCGGGGGAGGGACGGGCCGGGGCCCGCGCGCCTCACCTCAGCCGCGGCGGGCTGAGGGCGGCTGGGCGTGCACGCCGCCCCGAGGGAGCGAGTCCCAGCGCCGGCGGCGGGTCCCCCCGCCGAGACGCGGGCCAGCCGGGCGGGGGCCGTCCCGAGTGCGGGCTGTCGTAGGGGCGTGACGTTTTCCGCCCTGAACGCTGCGGGCACCTCCCCGTCGCGAAGGGAAGAAAAACTCGCGTCCTGTGCAGACGCCCGCGGGGCGGGTGACTCGCGCGCGCGAGTAACAGTTGGCCCGACACGGCGCCTCGTCACCCTCGTCACCCGGGAGAGCCGCCGCGCGGAGGAGGGACGGGAGTGGATGTGCCTCCAAACGGAGACGCAGGAACGGGGAGGAAAGTGCCGCGTGTCACCGATAGGGATGGAGCCTGAGGAGGAAAGACAGCTCCCACTGACAGACTAAAGCTTGGGGCGCGGCCGGAGGGAGCGGTTTCAGACTCTAGTGCGTCCCCGTTCCTCTGTTCGCTTAGTTTGAGAAAAGTAGTACCTTAAAGGGAAAGAAACTTATTTTAAAAAGTCTTTTAGCTGCGCAGTTAGAAAGAAAGAGAGGCAAAAAGTAAACAGTTTAATTGTCTTGTCATTTTCACTTCCTGTTTATTGGGGGGTTTTTAGATTTTTTTGTTTTTCTTCTGACTATCTCAGGGCTTCAGAGTTTGGATTGATGCAGGAAATATTTAAATGCATTTCTAAAATGATTCCCCTGAATGTTTGAAAGAGGAAGAGGAAGGCCGTTTGTTACTAATTTGTAAGAAAAGGGGTGAATGTCTTAAAATATAAAATGGTGAACTTTATTAAATAGAGTAATCAGTTGGGTCTGGGTGTGGTGTTTGAAGGCTGTAATCCCAGCACTTTGGGAGACTGAGGCAGGAGGATTGCTTGAGGCCAGGAGTTCCAGACCAGCCTGGGTAATAGGGAGCCTTGTCTCTACAAAAAATAAAAATAAAATTAGTCCTGCATACCTGTAATCCTAGCTACTTGGGAGGCTGAGGCAGGAAGATCCTTGAGCACAAGAGCTCAATACTGCTGTGAGCTTTGATTAAGCCACTGCACTCCAGCCTGGGTGACAGTGAGACCTGGTCTCAAGAACCAAAAAAAAAGTAATTGGGAAGATAGGCTTTTTTCACTTTTAAAAATCGCACTTTTACTATAAGTGTTCCATTTCACCACGATATACCAAACATTAAAACAACCCAGTACAGGAGATTCTCTTCTCCACATACCATTTAAACACAAATGATTAATTGTTTTCCATTAAATCTGTTTAACACCTTCAGTAGCATTTTTATGGATCCCAGGACTGGCTGCCTTTTCTCAAATGTTTCCCTGTATTTCCCAGTTGATGCTATATAGGTGGTGCGATTGCATGCCTCAGCAGCAATGTGGGCGCCCTTTTAAAAGTAGAAATGGGGCTTATTAGGCCTACTGGTAGGGAAACAGTAGTTAGTACTTTGCCTCTAGCTAATCATCTTAAGCCTTACATGTGAGTATTTCTAATTTACAAATTATTGTTTTAAGTCAACTGTCCATGCTGTAATGACGATTTGCAAAATTTTAAAAATGGAAATGCTTCCATCATTTTACCTGTCTTATAAAAGACCCCAGAAACAATAAAGGCAAGCCTATGAGTTTGCTTCTTTAAATGTAGCTTTTAAATCTTACCATAAAAAAAAACTGATAGAAATATACTCTGGCCCATTAGGAGTTTTAGCTAGGACTACTAAACCATTTTCTGCAAATCAAATGACCTGGCTGTAGGAATGTTTTTCATTGCTTTGTGGTTGTCTCGCTTGATATGAGACATCCTATGACTAAAGAGAGGTATTATTTCTATATATTTTTACTGCAAACATTCAAACCTCTAGAGCCTGTGAAATAGCTAGAAAAAAAGTGGTTTGTGACTTGACAGCTCCTACAATCCTAGCTTGCAAAGACTTGTCATAGGTGGTATCTCAAGTAGGCGTTCCCAATTATAATTGGTCTTTCTGAAGTCTTTCACACTCCTATAAGTAAGCTCATAGGAACGTTTAATAACTTTGAAAAACATATGATACAGTTCTCATCCTTCATATGGTAGGTGAGTAATTGTCTGCCAGTGTATTGTGGATGGAAGAAAACTCCCGTTTGTTGACATGGATATGTTTAATGTAGCAGAATTGTGTTTTAAAGAACACATTTAGCCTGAAGCATAAGAAAGCAAGAACATATTTTATTATGTTTGGCCGAGTCATGGCCTGGTGTCCATGATCACGTTCCGGTGGCGGCATCTCTGCTCGTCAGCACTCTGTGGAGCGGTTGTCAGGGCAATCCCGAGCTCCTGCTGGCGTTTCTCTGTGCAAGGAGGCAGATTTGAGTGATTATGGTGCCTGGTGAATTATGTCTAAACAGAAAGCCCTTACCTGAATGTGCCTTTCTTAATTTGGGTTTTTTGCTACTTAGACTGAGAAACTCCCTGATTTGATTTCATGCCCTGAATACTTATGTAAGATATATATTAAAATGTTTAAAAATCAAATGTACTTTGCAGAGAAGCCTAAGTATCAAGGGTGCTTTCTTTTTAACTTCTAGAAACAAAGCATATGAATGTTTTAATCACATCACAAGATATTAATTTTGAAATTGTTTTCATCTTTTGAATTTAATGACTATATCAGTCTTGCTTAACACTTTCCTACTATTCTACCTCTTGTATTTGTAATTGATGCATTGTGTTCTGTAATACTGGTTTCAGAGCTCTCTCCGGAGGAGAGCAATTGGTTTGTATGTTGGTGATTATATTGCTCTAGAAAAGACATTAATGCTTTGATCTCACTCAGAGTAATTCTAGACCAGTTTGTCTTCTCAGCACTTAGGTATTAGTGTTTATTTGTTGAGATTTTACTTTTTATTTATTATAATTAAATGATGTTAGTGCTATTTTACAGCAGACTCTAAGCTAGGAAATCATTTTGTATCTTGGCAGATAAATATTTGTTGAATGAGGTATCTATGAAGCTAAGGTAGAAGACCTGAGGCTAAATGTTGTTTGATCTAACTAACATCTACTATATAAACCAAATGTGTTTAGGTCGTGGAGTAGAAGTGAGCAGCTAATTTAGTTGATGTTAGGCAATCGGGACATCTGAGTGCCAGCCAACCTGGCCCTGCCACCACTAAGCTCTGTGAACTTAGCCCCATCATTCAGTCTACTTGGGCGTTTTTGTTCCCTTTTCAAAACAAAGGGATTTGTCTAATTGTCTAACAAAGGGATTTGTCTAAGAGTCTTTTTCCATATCTAAAATTGCCATTTTGTTATTTTACCAGAGGATATACCATTGAACAAAGTATTGTCGATGTCTTTAGTGATTGAAAAATTCTTTTAGAAGTTGGGCAGTCAGTAGAGTAATAGTTTTACCTATGGCAGTAATAACTATTTTTCCTTTCAAAAGAAATGGAAGGGCTCAGGGCACTGAGGTTCACACCTATAATCCTAGCACTTTGGGAGGCTGAGGAGGGAGGATCTGCTTGAGGCCAGGAGTTCGAGGCCAGCCTGAGCAAGAGCAAGACCTCGTCTCCACAAAAAATAGAAAAATTAGCTGGGCATGGTGGCATGTGCCTGTAGTCCTAGCTAGTCAGGAGGCTGAAGCAGGAGGATTGTTTGAGCCCCAAGAGTTTGAGGTTGCTGTGAACTATGATGACACCACTGCACTCTAGCCAGGGTGACAGTGAGACCCTGTCTCAAAAAAAATTTTTTTTAGAATTTATTTGATGGGGTTAGCATGTCATAATGGAATAGATTAAGTATCTTTAATACTACATTCTATCATCACCAGTGTTTTCATCTGTGAAACGTTGCTAGTCAAGAGTATCTAGCCTAAAACCCCTTTATATTAATAATAGACTTCTTAGACTAACCTACAAGCTATAAGCCAATAGATGATAAAAACAGCATGATTTCAGCCATATTCTAAAAGAATCTTCCTTTTTTTTTTGAGACAGAGTCTCACTTTGTTGCCTAGGCTAGAGTGAGTGGCGTGGCATCAGCCTAGCTCACAGCAACCTCAAACTCCTGGGCTCAAGCAGTCCTCCTACCTCAGCCTCCCAAGTAGCTGGGACTACAGGCATGCACCACCATGCCCGGCTAATTTTTTCTCTATATATTAGTTAGCCAATTAATTTCTTTCTAATTATAGTAGAGATGGGGTCTCACTCTTGCTCAGGCTGGTTTTGAACTCCTGACCTCAAGCAATCTGCCCGCCTCAGCCTCCCAGAGTGCTAGGATTACAGGTGTGAGCCACCGCGCCCGGCCAGAATCTCCCTCCCATTTAATTTATCAGTATTAATTTTCCTTGGCTTTTAAACAAACACCAGTTCTTGTTCTCTGAGCTGTGTATTTAAACTTTGTGGCGTGGGATCCCTCATCCAATTGTTTTTACTGAACTTTCCACATTGCCATATCTTTTAAGAAACAGCTCTGTGAAACACAGTAGTCAGTTTAAAAGGTGCCCTTTAAGAGGACCCTTGAAGGAAATTGCTGTCTAGTCTTAGTATTGGAATAGTTGAGTTTTTTCTTGATCAAGATGTGTGTTTCTTCAACAGACATTGTATATAGCCAATGTGTCTATGTCCTGGTTATCAGAAAGCTTAGGATCAAATTTTCAAATCTCTTCTAGTGAATATAAAAGAACTTATGGCATGCATTTTATGTATGTGCCATACTCATAGTTTCATCTTCTCTACCTTTAAAATTTTTCCTCCATTCATATCGTCACCCATCTTTTAATGAGCAAAAGTGAGCATAAATAGGTTTTAAGAAATTTTGAAAATCAGCTCTTTGGTATTTGAACAAATGTATTCTAAGTAGTAAATTATGGAAGTGTGGCAAACCAGGCTCTTTCTTGTTCATGTTGTCTTTTTTGTGCTTTGTCCATAGAAGGTGCTCAATAAATGTTGATTGTGTTGAATCACATTGCTGTAAGAATCTAATTTTGATGCTATGATTCTCCCTTAAAGAAATGTTGTGGTACTGAAGGTATTCATTCTCCTCATACAGAAATAGATTCCTCTTTTCTTCTTCCTCACCTGCCCTAAATTTTCTTGTTTCCATGCTACCTCGATGCTACTACCTAAATTAAAGTTTGGGTCAACTACCAAAGAGTCCATTGACTCAGAGTTTCCTATTTCGTGAACTCCTAAATGGTGTAGTTTTTACATCATTTTAACTTCAGGTAGAGGTTTACCATAAAAGGAATAGAAAGTATTGCAACCTAAATTTTTTTTTTTCCTGTTTTGACAGCTCTTTAGGGGTTAATTAGATTTCTGCCTAGGATTCACAATATTGGTGAGAAATGATCTGTGAAATCTGCAGTATAAGCAAGGTTCATTGAAGAGAATTATTTTGAATAGATTTGAGGGCAAGCAACAGGGGACAATGAAACACTGGCAAGAGATGGGGCTGGAGTTGAA